CTCCCATTCTTCCTTCTCTCGTTTTTTTTTTTCCTTCTGAGCCTAGATTTCTCCTCCTATTTATTCTCTATGCCCGCCAGCCCCACCTATCCTTTCTCTGCCTAGCTATTGGCTGTTCAGCTCTTTATTAGACCAATCAGGTGCCTTATACAAGCAAAGAGAAACAAATGCAACACATCTTTACATAATTAAACAGATACAGCATAAACAACCGTACCACATCTTTGCCCAGTTAATAATATTCCCCTCAGTTTTAGAGTTCAGAGTCTTACTTTTTGAAAAAGGGATTTTGCTGCTTATAAAATAATAACACCTAACTTCATGTCCAGTGTTCCCCTCACCCACCGCATTTTTTTTTTTAAGACCAATTACTATGTAGCCTCAGCTGGCCTGGTTTTTACTGCTTAGTTCAAATTAACCTTCAACTCCAGACAACCTCAGCCTTGGAAACGCTAGGTTTACAGGTGCATGCCACCACACCTAGCTTTGAATGCCCCTTTACTGGGTGACCTCTAAACTCTTGACTAGTACCGATAATGCTAGATCACGTTTGCTAACTCGGAGGAGGGTGAGGGTTAAACCTGCATGTAAAATATAGAAACCAGGTTCGCCGAACTGCCTAAGAAAACAACCACTCAGATGGAAGGGAGCTGTGGAGTTCTGCTCTGGGTGGGTGGGGAACCCTGAAGAAGAATCCTGGAAGGGTTTGGATGAGGGAGACATTGCCAGGGCGACGTTGAGGCGATGGGCTGGTTCCACAGTTGGAGGATTCCACCAGCCTGTGAAATTCCTCCAAGAGCTGAGCAATTCCTAAATGGGGAAAGGCCTGGCAGACTCCAAGGCAGGCTGTTCCTCAGTTTCTTCCTTCCTCTGGTACCCACTCCTCCCAGCCCTCCAACCCTCGCTGTTTACTGAATGTTCTGTGTATGGTGCATCAAACCCAGAGAGGCCATATGGCGGTTAAGTTCAGGGTGTGGGAAACAGAGAACTCCTCTGAGGCCCAGCCCCAGGGCCTGATCTGGAGCTTCCTCTGCAGGTTGGTGAGGCTGGCCATCGTGGACAATGTGACTCGGGCCAGGAATCGTTTATACTTGGTCCTGTCTCCCCAGAACCCCAGGAGAACACAGCGCGCACAAAGTCCTAATGGGCTTACACTTCAGGCTCTGTGAATGTCACCTGCATCTCTTGCAGTGGGTTGGTGTTCAGCACCCAGAGACTGGCTTCAAAGTGATGCTCAGGATGCCTGTCTCAAGGCTGACAAGACAGGTTACCACAGCCTCGAACAGGACAGTGCAGGCTTCAAACAGGAGCTGTCTTTACTAGCTGCAAGTCTTCTCAAAGCCCCGGTCACAGTGTCAGGCCCTCTCCACCTGATCATGGCTGCTCCTGCCCCAGGATGGCTGCCAGAGGCAATGGTTACAATGAGGGTGAGCAGAGAGTGGTCAGAGCCCCTGCTTGGTGAACTGTGGGTGATACACTATCAGTGAAGGACCCAAGAGGTGCGGCCTGGAGACAATTTTGGTGTGTGGAGAGCTGGTTGGGTCAAAGGGCCAATGATGCCTGGTCTCCAAAGGGCTTCCTCCTCGTAGAGTCTAACCACTGTGGGGTAGCCTTCTCAGGGAGGGAGGCTAGCACCTTACATATTCGGAGCCCAGGCTGGTAAGTGGAGAAGATGCCCAAAATGCCCACAGAGTATCGTATTGGATAGGGATCCACTGGGGATGAGGGGTTTCCATTACTGTGATAAACACCAGGACCAAAAGCAACTTGGGGAGGAAAGGGTTTGTATCATTTTATAGCTTACAGTCCATAAGAGAAATCATGGCAGAAACTGATTCGGAGGCCATGTAGGAACCCCACTCTTAGGCTTCCTTATCTACCCTAAAACCACATGCCTAGTGGTGACACCACCCACAGACAGGTGCCCCCCCCCACTCCAGACATTAATGAAGAAAATGCCCCACAGGCTTCCCAGCAAGCCAATCCGATGAAGGTAATTTTCATCTGAGATTCCCTCCTCCAAGATGACTCTAGTTGATGTCAAGTTAACCAACCCCAACTAGCACAAGGCTGGACCCACCAAAGCCCAACAGCCCCACAGGTTCTTTTCTGCCTTCCAGTTATGTCAACCTTACAGAATGACCATGGAGCCTGCCTGGTTTTGCTCTCAGTTCCCTGCCGGCTAGAACCTACAGAGTCCATGGACATCTCTGTGGTGTTTGTCACCATAGAAACCAAGGACAACAGAGACAGAACGAGAGAGGAGGAAGGTGAGTCTGAAGAGCACATGGGTTACTGAGCACAGTATAGGCACGGGTGGGAGACTGGTGGGGGTGCAGGATATACCATCCTATTGGACGAATTCAGACATATGGGTGGGGCTCTGAGATCCTCCCAGCAAGCCCCAGATGTAGTGCCAGGTGACTTCTGCCCCAGACTGTGAGAGGGAAGTGATCCTTTGGGACACTTCTAGAAGTGTGTACAGAGAATGTCTGCTAAATGGGCCTTCGCGGGGTCTCTGTGTGGTCCTGGAGATGGTGAGACAGTGAGCCCAGCCCAGCAGGTGCTGGGGACAGCTCATCTCCTACCAGCGGCAGAGGCAAGAGCCACTCTGGTAGGGGACACGGTTCTCTAGTGGGGTTTGGGCCAGGAGCCTACCTGTCTTCTTCACGGTGAGAGGAGAGGCCAGCAGGGGGACTTTGGTGTTTTCACTTCAGAGGCAGTGGAGAGTGGAGCAGTATCATTAAATGAAGATAATAACTAAATTAATCTGTCGAGTGATTATAGACATAGCTGCTATTATAATGTGCGCTAACTGACCATGAACAGCAAACAGTTTACAAAAAAACAAGGCAACGTCTTTCACTCAGCCAGGCTGGGAGACTCCAAGCAGGTTCCTCATGGTCTTGGCAGCTCTCCAGGATGCTGGGGACTGGGGCGAGTGCTGACCTGGGCAGTATTCAGTCCCACACAACCACTGACACTTGACTCTTGTGTCTCAGTTGTCCAGTGCCCTGAGCAGTCCAGGATCTGTCCCTGTCCCTCAAGGAGAACGCCCAACTATTCTATCGTGTCTCTTTTGCCTCCTTCGATTTATCAATTATTTCTTGTGCCCCTCCTCCATGTAGCCGTTCTCTACCCAGTGCCAGCGACGTGGAGGGGATGGCCAGCTAAACCGTCAAGGGCTCACCGAAACATCCATCCACTTAGGAGGACAAGAAAATCCTCATGATGTCACAAACACGTCATGGCTCATAACCAAAATACCTTTTGTTGTTGGGTTTTCGTTTACTCTAGCCTCACATTAGAATGCCAAAATGTTGTTTGTTTTGACTCTTTTCTCTTTACTCTTTTGTTCTTTGGGGGCCTGCCCCCCAGCACCCAAATCTCTCTCTCTCTCTCTCTCTCTCTTTCTCTCTCTCTCTCTCTCTCTCTCTCTCTCTCACACACACACACACACACACACACACACAGAGGTTTATTCTTACTTATAAATGCCTGGCCTTTGCTTGGCTTGTTTCCAGACATAAATTATTCCACCTATCTTTTGCCTCTGGGCTTTTATGTTTCTCTTCTGTACATCTTACATTCACTCTTACTCCGTGGCAGGTTGGGAGGCTTCCCCTGACATACTCCTCCCTTGTTCTCTTGTTCTTTTCCTTTCTTCCAGAGTTCTCTTTGCCTGCCAGCCCCGCCTATCCCTTTCTCCTGCCTCACTATTGGCCATTCAGCTCTTTATTAGACCATCAGGCATTTTAGACAGGCAGAGAATCACAGCTTCACAGAGTTAGACAAACGCAGCATAAACAAAAGCAACACATCTTTACATTATTAAACAAATGTTCCAGAGCATAAACAAATGTAACACCCCTTAAACAATATTCTACAACAACCTTTGTAGGGCACAAAAACCATTTGGAGACTAGGGAGAGATGGCTCAGCAGTAAAGAGTGAATCTTTTGCTCTTGCCAAAGACTGGAGTTTGGTTCCTGGCATATGCACCGGATTGATGTGGGATTCCCTTCTGTGTGGTGTGAACATGTTTTATTACCATTCGTTAATAAATAAAGCTGTTTAGGTCAATGGCCTAGCAGAGCAAAGTCAGGCAGGAAATCTGAACAGAGATATAGAAAGAGAGTAGGCAGAGTCAAGGAGACACCACGCAGCTGCCAAAGGAGATGTTTGCTGAAACCTAATACGGTAAGCCACAGCCTCCTGGCGATACACAGAATAATAGAATGGGTTAATTCAAGATGTAAGAGCTAGCTAGATATATGCCTGAGTCATTGGTTAACCAGTGTTGTAATTAATACAGCTTTGAATCATTATTTGGGTGTGAGTGGCCTGGAAAGGAATGCAGTCTCTGTTTACACTGGATGGCTCACAGCTGCCTGAAACTCCAGTCCCAGTGACTCTGGCACCCTTTTCTGATCTCTTCAGACACCTGCAAACATGTGGCACACACACACACACACAAGGACACACACATGAATAAAAACAAAACAAATCTTTTAAAAAGCACTTTTAAAAAGAATAACACAACTAAGTGTTGTGGAATATTACATTAACTGTGTAAAGGTGTGTTACATTGGTTTCTGCTGCATTTGTTTAATTACAGAAAGATGTGGAAGGCGCCTGATTGGGCTAATAAAAAGCTGACCAACTCATAGCTAGGCAGGAGAGAAATAGGTAGGGCTGGCAGGAAGAGAGAATAAGTAGGAGGAGAAATCTAGTTTCAAGAGAGGAAGAAGAGAAGAAGGGAGGAGAAAAGGAAGCAGGCACGGAAGAAGCAGGAAAGTGGGATGTACAGAATGAAAAGGTTGTTTACCCCCTTTGGCCCAAGGCAAAAGGTAGATGAGGAGAAACAGGGTAAGTTAAAAGAGTTAGCCAGAAATGCACATAAGCTAGGTTGAGCATTCATAGCTAATAGAGGGTCTCTGTGTCATGATTTGGACGCTGGTTGGTGGCTCACAGACAAGACTTTGTTGTTGATCTATAGAGCCAGCAGGCCGGCAGAAGAACACAACCTAACTCCAGCTCACTGCAACGGCTCCAGGTAACGACAGAAGGCACCTAGGGCACTGCACAAACGCTGTGGAAGCAGATGTGTGGGCTTTAGGTTGGGTGAGGACAGAGGATGCACGGAGACCCTTTGGAACATCTCGAGAGGAAATGATGCGAACCCACCTTTGCTGGGCACTTACGTGGCAGACACTGAGGGCGGCGTGGGAACTGTTAGCCACGTAATCATCACTGACATGGTGTGCCAGATGCTCTTGGACCCATTTTGGAGAGGGATACATTGAGGAAATAATTTAAGCTGTGCCCCACCCCAGGAGAAACGCCCTAGTCCTAACTATCAGCATCTGTACACGTGACTTTCGTGCCTTCCCTTATCAGAGGTTTTACTTTCTAGTACCCTGTGTTTGTATTTTCACTGTGGTTTCATCGACCTGTGGTCAACAGCAATCTAAAAATAACAAATAGAAAATTCCAGAAATAAACAATTCATAGGTTTGGTCATGTGTGTGTGTGTGTGTGTGTGTGTGTGTGTGTGTGTGTAGCTTCGTGTTGCACTGGGATAGAATCCAGAGTCTTCATGTTAGGTGAGTGCTCTCCCCCTGAGAAACTTACAACCCTTTCACTTTCTATGTTGAGAAGGATGTCACCAAGTAGGCCAAGCAGACTTTGAAATGTGGATCCTCCTGCCTCTGACTTCTCAATAACTGGGATTGCAGGCTGATGCCTCCAGGCCTGGCTACAATTCAGACCTTTTAAATTGTACTTTATTTGTGGTAACAAGTTAACGTCTTGTTCCCGTCCTCAGCCCTGCTCAGCCCTGAATGCTCCCTTTGTGGAGCGTCTGGACTGCCCTCCATTACTTATCAGTAGGCATCTAACTTATCAGATAAGCTTTCAAGAAATTGTGGTGAACAATGGCCCCAGGACAGGAGTAAGGCCTTTTTTTCTTTTGGTTTTTTGAGACAGGGTTTCTCTGTAGCTTTGGAGCCTGTCCTGGAACTAGCTCTTGTAGACCAGGCTGGCCTCCAACTCACAGAGATCCACGTGCCTCTGCCTCCCGAGTTCTGGGATTAAAGGCGTGCACCACCACTGGCATGGGTGGGGGGTCTTAAAATGTTCTCTTTCATCAATAAAGGGGGTAACTATATTTGGGGATGAGGTAGTACTCTGACAAAAGCAGTTTAAGGGAGAAAGGCTCAGATTGGTTCATAGCTCAGGTTACAGTGGGGACAGCAAGGCTGGAGGCAGTGGAGCAGTGGGCTGCATCAGGGAGCAGAGGACAGTTGTGCATGCTAGCCTTCAGTCACACAGTCCAGATTTCCTAGAATTTTTTTTTTTTTTGACAGGGTTTCTCTGTGTAGCCTTGGCTGTCCTGGAACTTGCTCTGTAGACCAGGCTAACCTCAAACTCACAGAGATCTGCCCATCTCTGCCTCCCAAGTGCTGGAATTAAAGGTGTGTACCACCACTGCCCAACTGGTCCCACCTATAATTAAGATAGGTTTTCAGGTAGGCCCAGAAGCCTGTCTCCCAGGTGATTCTAGGTTCTGTTAAGTCGACAGTTATCAATAGCTACTGAAGGCCTACACATATTAATGGCTGAAAGTTTAGCATCTTGAAATATGCAGATCACAGTCACCCCATGGGACTCATGGACTGGTACTCCAGCCACGAGTTCAAGAGCAGCTGCATCCCGAACCGGAATCCCTTCCTTTTGGGTAGGGCTAAGCAAGGTGATCAAACCGGGAAGAGACGGGGGACTTCGGTGTTTTGTGTTTCTCAGAGGTCACAAAGGAAGGAGAAGTTCATCCTTGAACTTCTTGCCTTTTCTGAGTTATCAAGAGCTTCACTTGAAGCCCAGAGAGGCCAGTGGCCCTTGTTGTTGGGCCTTGTGCTCTCAGGGGTGGGTGTTGGTGACCAAATGGGTCACTGTAGCCAGAAACCATCCAAGATGTCACAAGCAGGGTGGGGAGCTCACTTCAGGCTTTGTAGCCATGTGAAGGCAATACAATTAGTGAGCTCACAAAGGTGCAGGCTCTGCCATTCATGTGTCAGGGGACTTTGGGTGGCCTTTGGTGCAGGAGAATTGTCTGTATTCTGTCAATCATATTTTAATAAAACGCTGATTGGCCAGGCAGGCAGTATAGGCAGGAAAGCCAGACAGGAAGTAGGGGTGGAGCAAAGAGACTGGGAGTATTCTGGAAGCAGAAGCTCTCTCAGCCACTCCTGCGCAGACCACCGAAGAGGCAGCATGTAACATGTCCAGCTGAGAAAGGTACGGAGTCATTATGGCTAACATAGATGAGAATAATGGGTTAATATAAGTTATAAGAGTTAATAAGAAGCCTGACCTAATGGGCCAATCAGTTTATAACCTTATGGAGTCTTGCGTGTGATTTTCCTTGGGACTTGCTGGCTTGTTGGGGTACTGGGTGGGACAGAAACTCCAACAAGCAGGCCCCTCAAGTTACAGGCCTTAATCCTTTCTGTGCCTTTCTTCCTCATCTGTAGAATGAGCCTCTGACAAAACTGACTTTGGAGAAAGTTGGAAGAACCAGGTCAGTTAATATCTATGAAGAACATGAACAGTGCTTGGCCCAGCAAGGCCTACACAGTAGTGTGATGCTCCCTGGGCTCCTCCATGCATGACGGCTGCACGCGGGGAGTCTTTTTGCCTTTGAAATATGAGCCCATGGAAGAGACTTCTCGGCCTGCCTTTGACTCATGAGAAAAGCTTTCATGAGGTGACCAAGACCTTGCCTGAGGAAGGAGAACTCTTGTCTTTTGGGGACAGGGTCTCATGTAACTCAGGTTGGGCTCCTTCTCACCTCCAAACTTTATTCTTATTGTCAACATGAGGAGGCCGGGAACAAAGGGTCTGAGTAGACGGCAGGACCCCAGCATAAGGAAAAGAGATGGGCGAGGGCTGGGGATGTAGCTCAGTTGGTGGATTGCCTGTCTAGCTTGCACAGGTCCCTGGGTTCGATCCCCAGCGTAAAGTAGGCATGGTAGCAGACACCTGTAATCCCAGCCCTCTAGGGATAGAAGTGCAAGGATTGGAAGTTCAAGGGCATCCTCAGCTATGGAGTGATCCAAGCTTGAAGACAGCCTGGGCTTTCATCTGGCTCTTTTCTCTCCCTTGGAGCCTCAGTTCTGCCTTTCTGGTCTTAGGCCTCTTGGTGCAGACTTGGCATTTACTCCTGCTCCCGAGAGTCTGATGGCTCCCGAGCATCCTCAAGGCTGCACTCAATCCTCAAAACGCTTCTCCTCTAAATCATGTGGTGTTCAGGCCAGGGGTTGCCTGGGAGACCTCCAGCATTGCTCAGAGGTGGGGATGGAGACCCGGAGAAGGTGGGGAGGGGGCCTGGCAGAGCAGCATTCTTTAGGAAGTTCACAGTTCTTTTACCATGCCAACACCTAATAGGAGTGGGGGGGCAGTGTTGTGGGGGGGGGTCTGCCAGTCACTCCTGGGCATGGGATGCATGGTAATCATTAGTCCCGTGCTATTGCCCTTCCAACCACAACCAAATAAAAAGATCTGAGGCATGGGTGCCAAGGCCCTGGGCTGGAACAGACACCGTTAGGAACTGTTCTGGCCTCCTAATGGAGGATCCCTGGTCCTGACCAGCCAACATCCTAATGAAACTTATCATGCAAGGTTTTTGCTCTCAAGAGTCAGAGGCAGATGGGTGGTGGTGGTACATGCCTTTGATCCCAGTACTTGGGAAGCAGAGGCAGGCAGATCTCTCTGAGTTCAAGGCCAGCCTGGACAGAGCAAATTCCTGTATTGTGAAGGCTACACAGAGAAACCCTGTGTTGGGGGGAGGAGGCCCCCCATAGGTTTATCTATTTGAATGCTTGGTGCTTAGGCATCCAGGAGTGGCACTAATTGAAAAGGATTAGAAGGTGTGGCCTTGATGGCTTGTTGGAAGTGTGGACTTGGAGGTTTCAAAAGCCCATCCCAGGCCAATGTCTCTTTCTGCTGCCTGCAGATCAAGATGTAGAACTCTCAGCTTACTGACCAGGGTGTAACTCCTAGCTACTTCTTCAGCACCACACTTACCCACTGCCATGCTCCCTGCTAACATGCTCCTGCTACCCACTGCCATGTTCCCGGACACCATGGCTCCCCACCGTGAAAGTGGACTAAATCTCTGAAACTGTAAGCCAGCCCCCAATTAAATACTTTCTCTCATAAGAGTTGCCTGAGTCATGTTGTGTCTTCACAGCAACAGAATGGTGACTAAGTCACATGGTCACTTCTGGACTCCTGAGAGGCATCCTGTATACAGGAGTTGTTTCCTGGACCGGGGTAAGGACAGCCAGGACTTCCTTCAGGTCTGCTTAGCCCGTCACTGAGGTAAGTGCAAGCATCCGTGGCTATCAATGAGCTAGGAAACTTCTAGCCAACCCTCATAGATACCCTGAATTTTCTGTCCCTGTTTTATGTGTCAAAGGCTGAAGAAAGCAGTGAGAGAGAGCTGAGAGTGGAGAGGAAACTGAACCCCGACCTGACTCCAAGCCATCACACAGCTCTGCCCCCACGGAACCAGGCAGGGTGGGGAGGCTGGTGCTGTGCTAAAATAGAACAGCACAGGCAATAATATAGGGCACAGGAGCGGGGTGAGAGGAGCAGCAAGGGGGCGAATCTCAGAAAACCAAGGGACATAGAGAACAGGAAATAAAAGACATGAGAGCAGGCCCTCCTTCATGTCCCTGTGCCTCTCGTCACCTGCTGCCATAAAAGGCCCAGGCTGTGTGGGCTGTCTGTCCCCAAAACCTCCATTGCCAGCCAGAAGACACATGCGAACATCGAAGTCTGATGAGGTGGTTCAGGGACCCTTCTCTCTAAACGACAGGTGTCTGCCTGTTCCCCAGGGAGCCACTGTGGAGCCAAGGAGCAGGACCTAAAGTGTCAGGAACACCACATGTTTCTTCAAGAGAAGCAGGAAATTAATTTTTTTTAAAAATGTGATCTCTCATAATTTTAAAATGAAAAAAAATATTTTAGAGGAAAAAGAAAAAGCTCCCAGTCGGCAGTAGGCACAGTCAAGCTTTGGCATATTGATTCATATGAGGGTCTCACGGCTACCTGGGCACAGAGCTCCTAAAGATCATAAGAGGGCACCGTGTGTGTGTGTGTGTGTGTGTGTGTGTAAAAATGAGGGCCAGGAGGGCTTCAGAGTGGAAACAGCCTTTGGAGAACAATGCCTTGCCGTCTCCAAACACAAAAGGGACATTTTGCCACTGGCCAGGGCTGCTTTCTACCAGCCAGAGGCATCTGCTCCCTACATGGAGCTGAGAGGAGCAGAGGGAGGAGATGGGGATGCAGTGGGGATGAGTGAGGCAGGGTGGGAGAGGAGGGATGCTCGGAGGTGGTGGGAAGCGGCTCAGAAGTGAATCACATTTCCACGTGATGGGTGCAGTTCACACTTTGGGAGAGAGCAGGGAGCGACCAGAGCCTGACTTTTCTAAATATATCAGCCAAGTCAAACAGCTGCTTGGCTTGGAATGGAGATTTGTGACAAGGAGCCTAGCACCCCATGTTCCTTGTCTCCAGTGTGGGGCGGGGCGCTGAGGCTGACTCAGGAAGGAGTCTGGAGACTTCTTTTCCTAAGTGCTGACCGGCCCTCAGGAGACCATTGCGGGTCCAGGGAAAGCTGAACTACCACAAGGTTTCTAGGAAAGTCTGAGTGGGGGTCACAGCACGCACCCCTCTTCCAATTGCCCTTGGCCCTTCCAGGGCTGGTGGGCACAGAGGTGGTTGTCTCTCCTGAGCTTCCAGACGTTGGGGGTGTTCTAATGAGGCTACGAGTGCCTCTCTCTGCTCCCCAGCAAGCATTTCCTGCCAGTGGCTTGGGCAGTTCACCTTGTTGACAAAGGAAGGAGACCAGAGCCTCATCTGCTCACTCAATTGCTCATGGAAGACTCTGCTCCATAGGCACAGCCATGAGGGCTCTAGTAAGGCCCGAGAGTGCACACAATGCTCTTCCCAGGGCCTGGAGGGGGTCTTCCTTCTATGACAATGGTCCTCAGTGTTAGGAAGGTTCCTATAATACAGTTCCTCATGCTGTGGTGACACCTCCCAACCATAAAATTATTTTTGTTGGTACACATACCTGTAAATTTGCTACTTTCGTGAATTGTAATATATATTACAATTCTGATGGTCTTGGGCGATTCTTGCGAAAGGGTTGTTTGGTCCCAAACGGGGTCTATTCTGCAAGTTCCAGGAGGGAATGCACTTGGAGTGCCCCCCACCCCCTGACAGATGTGGCTCTGCTGCCTTAGTCAAGGAGCTTGGGTCACCAAGGAGCAGGTTATACCCACTTGGCACACCCAGATGTGACCTGCACACCATCCCGCAGGTTGTGGGGAGCACCTGGATATGGCCTGCACACCATCCCACAGGCTGCAGGGAGCACCCGGATGGCCTGCACACCATCGCGCAGGCTGTGGGGAGCACCCAGATATGGCTTGGACACCATCCCGCAGGCTGTGGGGGGCACACGGATGTGGCCTGCACACCATCGCGTAGGCTGCGGGGAGCATCTGGATGTGCCCTGCACACCATTGTGCACGCAGGCTGTGGGGTGCACCCGGATGTGCCCTGCACAGCATCGTGCAGGCTGTGGGGAGCACCCAGATGTGGCCTGCACACCATCCTGCAGGCTGTGGGGAGCACCCAGATGTGGCCTGCACACCATCGCGCAGGCTGTGGGGAGCAGGGTGACAAGTGGCAGTTCTGTCACTAACGGGCCACACCTTTTCCCTCCTTGGCATCATTTCCATCTTTATGTAAGCAGAAGCCCGGAGGTGACAGAGCAGGCTGAGGCACCTTCCAGCTCTGATGTCATAGTTCCCTTAGGTTAGAGGTGGGCTGGGGTTTGGGGGCAGTGACAGCCTTCCATGGAGTGGGTGGGACTCTCGTTTCTTTTGTCTATGGGGTGAATTGTGCTAGTCACTGGCAGGTCATGCCCATCCACACTTTGCTGGGAGGCAGAGAGGCGCCTGGAGTCTGACTAACAGCTCAGAAACAGAAATGTGCCAAAGAAAGATGGCTTCAGTAGTTCTCTGAGATCCCCTTGTGGGATCTCACCCACTGGTGATCTCACCCACCTCTGCACCCCTGGGCATTCTGCTTGGCTGGGTTCAGTTCTGGGGACAGCTCTGGGTGCTGCCGAGAATCTACCCTAGGCCTCCGGGAATCCTGTGGGCGACTCCCAGTGGCTAGCAGCTTTGCCAATAGCAAGTGCCTGAGGAACAAGTCAAGTCTGGGGAAAGCTCTACCTCAGCTTGAAGGCAGCCGTGCAGGACGCTGTAGCCCAGGATCTAGGAGGCGGCACCCTCTCAGGCCCTCCACCTTTCAAGGCACTAACTGTGCTTCTCCAGGGGACATCAAAGGTGTCCGGAGGGCAAAGGGGGAGCCAGCGCAAGTCTCAGCAACCAGCTTTCATGAGCATATTTTAATATTCTACTTTATTTGTATGTATGTGTGATGCGCACATGGACCGACATCAGGTGTTTCCCTCAACTGACTCTCTCTCTCTCTCTCTCTCTCTCTCTCTCTCTCTCTCTCTCCCTCTCTCTAGGTAGGGGCTTTCATTGATACTAGAGCTGTCTAACTCAGCTAGACTCACTTCACTGGACATGAGCCCCAGGGAGCCTTGTCTCTGTCCCCTCGGTGCTGGGATTAGAGGGAAGCACCACCGTGCCCTTTTTGTTGTTGTTGTTGTCGTTTTGGATTTTGTTTTTATAGTTTTTTAAAAGTGGGTGCTTAGGCAGTGTGGGGATGGGTGGGGAGGAGCAGAGGAGGGAAGCAGGTGGATGGTGGATGGTGGATGCTCAGGAGCTAAAATCAACAGGCTTGAGCAACTGAAAAAAGTGAGGATGGCTGAAGACCCAGGAGAGAGAAGATGGCTCCAGGGCCTGCCTTGTGTGGCTGGCTGACTGAGGCCATCAGAGAAAGGAAAGACAGCAGTGGAAGAGGACTATGGAGGATGAACGTTTGTGGCAGGGCAGGAGAGGGGAGTTCCAATCTGAAGGGTGAACTGGGTGGCTATGGATTCCTGATGGAGGTCAAAAGTCTGAGGAGATCTGCTTCTCCTCTTAGCATCTGCTCCAGGAGCCTCCAGGACCCGGATGGGCAGTGCCAGGGTGAGCCGCAGGATTGGACAGCTAGTACTGGAGCCTGAGCTAGTTCCCTCCCTGGTTGTCACCAAGGCCCGATGGGAACTTCCAATGCCTCAGCTTTTGATTATTTTAGAAGACTACATGGTATCTTATACTTTTAAATTGTTGGCAACTGATTTGATTATAAAGAGACAATGAGGGTCCAACAGAACGTACTCACAAGTCAGATCTGCTCTAGCCCCGCAGGTCGAAGGCCTTGGGTTAGAATGAGAAGGAAAACTGAGATGGAATTTGTAGCACGATTAATAAAAATCCAGAGACAGATATTGGGGGTTCAAGCTGAAGACCAGAAAAGCAAAGCAGTCAATCACCGGCTCTTACCTTTACCTCAGTCCAAAAATGGCATTCCCGCCTTCAGAAATCCTCAGAATGAGACTGAGCCTGAAACCTGTCTCCTCCCGTTTTTATATTCCTCTTTAGGGCTGGGATTAAAGGTGTGCACCATTACCGCCCAGTTTCCATGGCAAACTAGTGTGGCTACTGAGATTAAAGGTGTGTGCCACCACTGCCTGGTCTGTAAGGCTGATCAGTGTGGCTGTTTTACTCTCTGATCTTCAGGCAAGCTTCATTTATTAAAATACAAATGAAATCTCACTGCAGGAACCACCAAGTCCAGGAGTCCCACAGTGTTCTTCAAAAACTCTCCTCAAGAGGGCCAGGGAGATAGATGGCTTACCAGGCACATTTGCTGCCAGTCAGGACAACCTGAATTCCAACCAAAGAATCCACACAGGAAAGGAGAAAGGTTTACCCCAATTGTTCTCTGACTTCCACAAGCATGCTGTGGGTACAGACACATGCAGCAAAATTTCTCCATATGCCCCTGCAAGTAAAACCACCCATCACTCATAAACGCTAGTAAAAAATCAGGCTTCAGTGTTGCCAGTTGGGTGGGTGTAGGGGTAGCTCAGGGCTGATTTTAACTAGTGCCTGGAGTTCTTGGGGGCATACCAAGTATATGAGAAACCAAGTTGGGAAGGAGGCAATACAACTGGCCTAGAAAACAAGAAGTGTAGGCTACAGGACAAGAGAAAATAGAGCTCCAACATGGCTGCCGATGGGCGGGAGGGTGCTGGCTCCCAGGAAGATTTCCTTTATACTCTCACAGCATCTTTGCTTCTCCCCAGGGAAGAGGGATGCTGATCTTAATGCTGAGTCTCAAGGTTATGGATGCAGCTGATGGGCCTTAAGAGGTCAGTGCATTGGGCTGGGATCTCTGTGGCCTCTCCCAGGCTTAAGTAGCGAGAGGAGTGGGGGCGTTCTCCCTAGCTCTCCTTGGGAACTGCCCTGCCTTCTTGGCCTAGCCCTCCACCAGCCAAAGCCAGCTTGGAGCCAGGTGTAGTGACACAGGCGCTCCATCTGTCTTTCCCTCCCCGCGCTAGTGCTGGGATAAAGAATGGGATGGCATCTGAAGGGAGTTTAGAAGGTCTCGACATTTCCTTAGAAGTGACCACTTCTCATTGGTTTAGGGAGGAATGTTTTGAGCCTCTTTCCCAGCCTAGAGGAATTCCACCCTGGAGAGATTAGCCATGACACTTTTTTTGTTTGTTTACTTTCCATGAAGGAGAAATAAGAGTCCTGGGCTAGCACTGGGCATTGCCGAGCCTCCTGGTTACTCCAAAACCCAGAGTCTGAGACTGCTGGGTGCCCAGCCCTAAGACAAGGACTAAACAGTGTGCCCTGGACCTATAACACAGTGACAGAACCATGTCAGTGGCATAGCATGTCAGGAGAGGGAGAGAGAAGCAGGGTGGGAAAGAGCCTAGAGACAGTACCAAGAGACTCGGACTGAATGTCTAGAGTAGAGTGGGGGGATGGGCCTTGGGTAAAGATTAAGAGGAGGCAAAGTGTTTCCCAAACAGGTTTAGGATTTTGGTAGCAAAAACTGGAAAGATTGCTTCTGATGGCCCCTCCACCACCTGCCTGTTTTTTTCTTTCTTTCTTTCTTTCTTTCTTTCTTTCTTTCTTTCTTTCTTTTTTTTTTTTTAAGGCAGCATCTCTTTCTATAGTTCAGAAATCCACTGCTTTCAGTCTCCTAAATGCTGAGATTACAGGTGTGAGCAACATGCCTAGTCTAGGGCACTGCTTTCTTGGTGAAATCAGGGAATTGAGGGGGATGGAGTTTATTTAGACTCATACTGGGCAGGCAGGGAGTCCCAAGGGTTTGACTGAACTTGACTTGGGGCATCATAGACAGATTCACATGCACTAGCGACACCTTTTACACCCACGGAACAACAGCAACCGGCACACTCCATCTGGGGTGAAGCATACCTGCACCATTAGGCTAAGCATCCATTTACTTATTTGATGAGAGTGGTATATCTAAAAACCCAACCCACCTAGAAACTGAAGTAGCAAGCTTCCCAGGTCCCAGACTGAACCCCACTCCCACCATCCCCAAGAACAGGTGGCTATCCTTTGGAAGGCTGCCACCAGCAGTCATAATTTTCAAGGCGCGTTCAGAGAGCCTTGGGAAAAAACAGGTTTGGAAAGTCTAACACAGCACCTCCTCTTATATACTCAGAGTAAAAGCTGACAGGAGAAAATTTTCAGCGTTTCAGTCTTTGAAACCACGGACACCCCCACCCCAACACATCCACCCACAATCCTGCCACTCAGAACTGTGGTGGATGGCAGACACATCTGGTTGAATTAGCCCTGGGTTATCTGCTTGGTCACTTCGATGTGGTGGTTGTTTAAACAGCTCTCTGGAGGAAGAGGTTCAGTCTTTTAAAGAGAATAATTCATGGCATGGGCAGAGTATTTAGAATCTGTGAGAAAACTCACAGTTCAAGAGTCAAGTTAACTCAAGTCCACAGTGTACCCAGCAAGCTGCAGACAGCATTCTCAGGTCCAGACACTGCCTTATAAGGTGGTCTGACATTTTCTCATGGCCCAGACTGCCCTCCAAAAATATCCAGAGACAAAGCAAGAGTGGGAAAGGACCTCCTGGGGCATTTCAGATAATCACATGCAGACTTGGCTGCAGAGCAGTGCTAACACCTGCTTGCAACCCTGTCTCTCAAAGCTCTGGGCTGTGCAAAACAGAAGGGCACTATGGGAAAAACGCGACCCTCAAGGCATGCACCCAAGCTGCTTTTTCTTTGCACACTCCCAGAATGTGCTCTCAACCTGACTTTGCTTTATATGGACAATAGATGCGTGACTAATTTTCATCTGTGTGCCTTGTTGCCCTTCTTATCCTTGGGCCGAAGCTGTTTCTGCGATGCCGCCAGTGCTCCCGAAAACCAGATAGCCTGTGAGGTGCTGCCCCCCAGCGGGAACGGCTGGCCACCACAACTCGCTGGCGGAAATGGCGTTCCAGACCTTGGCCAAGGCTGTAACTGCAGCAGGTCTGGATTCCATCCGTCCACTGCCAGACAGATGTGAAAGTGATGCGGTGGACAGGAGTCTATGCTCTGGAATTAGGGAGATCCCAGAAAACAAGGCGGTTTACAAAATGGACACTAGATGCTTCAATACAAAGCTTCTCACTGTTTTAGATAGATTACCCAATGGGGGGTCACGGGGCAAATTTGCCTTTTTATTTTTGGTATGGAGATTTGCCCATGTAACACCATGAGTGCCATTCTAAATGGAAAAAATAAAAACAAAATCAAGGAGTCTCTCACATTTTTCAAAGAAAGCATTAGTTAAAAACACAAAAGAACTTCATGGCTCTCCCCTGATCTGGCTTAGATACAAGGAGATGTTAATAGGTATGGCTATTTTGGGGTATAGCTACTTAAACAGTTTCTTCACCATCAAATGGTTTGACAAGGAGCCAGGCTATTTGTAAGGCTGGGATTAAAAAATAACGATATGATGAATTGCAATGCTAGCTCTCACTCCTTAAAGGAGCAGCGCCCAGCAGCATTTTCAGAAGGCTGTGTACTAGGAGGGTTCCCAATCACACCAGGAAGTCTTCAGGCCAAGGCTTATATCAACAGAGCACACATAGCTGCCACAGAGAACAACGGCAACCAGAAAGCGCCAGTTCTCACCACCATCCTGAGACTGTACAGGAAGACTGACTCAGTCGTCGGCTGATTCCTTTTCTCATAAGTGAGAAACAAAGGGTCCTGCACGGGAGAGGGGCACTCAGGCTGCCTTGCAGTGAGCAGATTTCTCCCGTGGGATACCAGACAGTGGGTAACTTTGAGAAACACTGCAGATTTAGGTGGGAGCACCCAGGGGACTGGATGAGCCTGTGCACGGAAACTGTTCTAGGGAAAGAAACGGTGGATCCAGAGCGGGAGGGCATCCTAACCAAGGTCCCTCCTACACTTGATCACGTGAAAAACTCCCAGGAACTTTCTGGAATTGGAACCACTTTCAGGGTGAGGTACTTGAACTTCACTGCATCTAGTTTCTATGGAAGATGAACACTGCTGGGAAACAGTTATCTGCCAAGAAAACAACCTAAGAAAACCCCCCCAAACAAATAAACAAAACTCCATTCTAGGACAAAGGATCTTCGATCTTCACTTCTTACTGATTAATGTTTTAGATTTCTGGTTCTTTAGCCGGGGGGCGGGGTACTCGCACCCTTGTGCGGCCTGTTGGCAGCCTGCCTTGGTGAACCTGAAGACTAACTGGTAGAAAGAAACATCTTAATAAAGTCCACTTTTTTCTGTAAGTACAGAAAACATATAAGAAACAGATTTGAAAATCATCAAAGAACAAGCTGGAGTCTGTAATGGAATGGGAGTTTCCACATTCTTGCAACATGGCCCAGATCAGACCCAGGCAGAGCACACACCAGTTTATTTTGAATGCAACACAGATCAGTGTTTGATGAGTATAACCTACTACATTAATATCAGATAAAAACAGCTTTCAAATGCATGCATAGAAAGTTAAGCATAGTCTTTGAGCTCCTTATTTCTAAATATACAAAAAATACATTTAAATTATATAATTTTAGTGAATCAAAGACTTATAAAATTACAATTTTGGTTTTCACAACATAGAAAAAATACAAAAATGATTATATATATGGTTGTATAATTTTTTCACCCAAATTTCAAAGGAGCAGTATGTACTGACTTTGATGTTTCATAATGGTTGATCTGAAACTCAGAACTGAATGTGATTTTCAGACGGACCACAGTGACACCACTTTTATTAGAAATGAAAAGCCAGCAGGAGTGAAGCAGCAGCACGGGCCTCTCGGGCTGGCATCGCTCGTATCCTCCTCTTGCTCAGTTGGCTTTTAGAGGAACAGCGCTTATTCTGTGACTGACTCCACGGGGCCTCTGATTACGGAGCAGATGTGCAATGAGTGGTCCCCACCTCAGCACGGTGTAGATTAACAACACGAGTCTACAGAGCACTGCTGTGCACCTCAAAGAGTCCTTCCCTTCAAGAGGGCCCCTTGGGAAGATCTGAGACCATCATGGGTGTGGGGAAGATGATGCCTCTGACTCTTAAGTCTGACAAAGTACCCTTTGAAGTACCCTGAGAAGCACGTTCCTCAGTCACAGCTCACTATTAGACGTGACACTTGGAGGGACTGGATGTTCTCAATTTATAAAAGAACAAAATTACCTTAATTTCAAAGAAGAAATTAATTCATGTTAGGGATGAAAAAGGAAAGGAAAAACAAAACACTAAAACTCAGCCGCCAAGAGAGGTGACCGACAGCTGCACACATCTGCTGTGCCTTCAGTGCTCATGTCCAGAAGAACTGGTGATGGTGTTCTCACCACCCACGGTCAGTTCGATGTAGTTCAGCCGATGCAGAAGGCCCGAGGAAGACCCTGTCCTTGGGCTGGACGGTTTGCTTCTCACATCACCTCTTGCAGCCATTCCGACACAACTGTAACAATCTTAGTCAGATACAAGACTGATAAACCCAAGTTGATTCTGTTTTACAGAAGTACAGTTTGGAGGAATATAAAGTTGAAGAAAATCTTTCCCACATATTTGTCTATCAAATACCAGAATAGATTGTGATTTCAACACAGCCAAGTTAAGAGAGCTGACTGGAGGCAGAATTCTAATGTTCCCTTTGACAATAACTTATCACACACCTGCCTGCATTGGGTTTTCAAGCTCCTATGAAAATACACATTTGAAAATGTAGTTTTCATTATATTCTTCTGATTGAAACGATTATATTCTAAATGACAATGGCAAGATTTTTAAAGTCTTAAACAGAAAAGAAAACAAGGGAAGAGATCCTAATAATGTGCTTTCTAAAATCAGGTGCACATCTAAATGGGCCTGGCATTTTCATCAGAACTTTGCTTTCTATTTTTAAAAGGACAGTTTGTTGAGTGCACTGTGAGGAGCGGCGGGCAGGGCAGTAACTCGAGTTTTGCTTGTCTCCTCCAAACCTTTCCTAAAGGGACTTCGATAGACAGTTAGGCAATTCAGTGCTGGGAGGACACCTTAGACAATGCCCACAGTCGAAAGCCAGCTGGGGGCTGCTCTGACATGTGTGTCACTGAACTTACAAGGCAGTGGGAATTAACACAGGGCCACAATCAGGAAAAATACCCAAACAGAAGAGCCAAAAGCTAAAATAAAAAGTAAGTATAGATTTATATCTATTTCTGAATGCTTTTCTGGACTATGGTGGTAACTACAGATTTCCTCCTCCTGTGTAATAATGTGGGCTTCGAGTCTGCCAATGAGAATAGCTCTGGGTCAGTACACATCTGTGCTCCGAGCTGGGTACAATGGAGGTACTGGGCATTTACTAGGTACCGAGCCTCCCCTCTCACACCTTGGCTTGTTAGAACCTACAGAAGCTAAGCTCCAGGTAAGGGTCTTTACAGTATACACACTTACTAACTCCAAGCACGGTTCTTAGTGGCAGGCAGTAACGAGTCAATTGAGAACAAATGAAAGACTTAGGCTTTTAGTGGTTTTCTGGTTACAGGCACTACCCGAAGCTTCACAGGCATATACATCTTGTAACTCATTCACTAGATATGAGGGGCTAGGTCCTAGCCAGAACTTCAGAGCATTCCAGAGGATGAATTGCCGCTTCATAATTACAAAGAGTTTCCAGCATGCCGTCAAGCACTTTGAGAAGGGAATGCTAAACACACTGCAGACTGCAACTCTCGAGAACTCAGTGTTACAGGTCTCTATGTGTCAGGTATATGAAGACACGGAGGAGATAAATACCAACCCCTTCTAGGACCATCACAGACACTGGGAACTCCTGGTTAGAGCATGCTGAAAGGACCGGCTAGGATGCTTGAACTAACAGCTTTCTGCATTTTTATCTTTATTTTTATTTTTTATAAAATCCCAGGCCCATGTGACACTGGATTTTGGTTTTTATTTTGTTTTTAATATTTTAAAAATAGTTCTTACTTATTTTCTATGAAATGTACTGGGAACTCAAAAAGTCTGCAGCATTTTTTGATCTTGAAAAGTTTGGTTTCGGGTAGTGGTGTGGAGAGCTAGTCAAACTTCTTGTGTTCTTCAGTGCCAGAAAGGACCTTTCTTCTCTGGTGGAGCATGTGGAAGTACAGCTGGGGGAAAACTGGAAGACAAGAAAACAACAGTGGCTTAGGAGCCTTTGGAAGCTCCACTCACTCAAAGAATGGCTCCAGACGGCAACTGCTTTTTCATCCAGTGACCAATGGCACTAATAAAACAGGCATGAAGAGGGAGGGACAACATGGGGACTCTCCTGCTTCAGCTGAAGGGGAAAGCAGTGTGGAGTGGAATGGCAGGCACCACTGCCACCACCATAAGAGTCAAGATGCCAGGTCACCACATAGTTATCATCCGTGCTGGAGACTGAAAACAGTGTCACACGAGGCAAGTCTCTGTCACTGAGCAATGGGCCCAAACCCTGCTTACGCTCCATTAACCACATTTATTCTAGTTAATTTCAGAACCCCCAGAGAAAGACATGTGATGGAGTCGTCCCGATTTCAGAAGAGGAAATCACAGCCCCAGAGAGGGTAAACAACATGCCTGGGTGTTCACAGGGAACCTGGGATCAGGTCCTGGGCTCTGCACTGCTTGGGGGTGGGGCCCTAGCTATCACCTCAGAGCACATCTTGAGAAAGGCTCCTCTATGACTGGCAGAAAGAGGAGGGAGAAGAGGGCCACAGACATAACAAAGCAGTGCTGGGGGTGCAGAAAAAGTCATTACAGAAGGGAAGCCAGTATTTGGGGTACTGGAAAGCCTTCCGTCCTTGGTATTGGTTTTAGAGGAGAGACTGCCTCCCTAGAGAATGTTTGGCAAGGGGCTTGGAGTAATGGGCATTTAGAATATGAAACAGGGATGCCAAAATATCCCTAACACCTGTTCATCACAAACCAAATGCCCAACGGAGAAGTGCTGATCGAGCAACCTGGTCTTCACATGGCTACTGCAAACGGGGACACCCAGTCACCACATAAACACCGTGTAAGGACCCTTCCCTTCCCTTTCAGTGGCCCCATCTCTGTGTTCCAGAGAATAGTCTGTATTTGAGGGAAGGGGGCTTCTACTATTGCCAGCTTTTCTGAGATAGTTAATTCTTTAAGCCGATAACTGTTTTTTGTTTGTTTGTTTGTTTTTTGGTTTCCTGGCAGAGTCTCCCTGTAGTCGCAGCTGTCCTGAAACTTGCTAGGTAAACCAGAGTATCAGCCTGCCTCTGCCTTCCAAGCGCTGAGATTAAAGATGTACACCATTATGCTTGGCTTTAAGCTGACCAAATTTTAAATGCCCCTCTTAAAGAACTTCAAGATATCAGGAGGTATTCAGAGATGTGGCCAACAGGTTCCAAGCCCAGTTGCCACCCCATTTGTTATTTCCAGGGAGGAAGTTACTTGTGGAAGAGGCTCAGCTTATTCAAAGAATTCAACAATGACAGAACTATTTTAGTACGAAAGCCAGAAAATTTGACAAGCTCTATAATCTAAAAACTGGAAATAAGGATATAATTAAGCCATAGGGAGTGCTAATTGTAATCATTTAAAAATGTGGCGCCAGTCACATCGCTAGCTTTCCCTAGGAAAGGGACTCTCTGAGCTGAGCAGGCCCAGGACTGGCTGCATTTGTGAGTACTGTATCACTTACAGGGGGTGGCAATGTGTTGGGAGCTAAAGATCCCTGGCCTCTTGACTTTCTCAGACCCTATGGCTGCTGGAGTGAACTGACCGAAACACCTGTGCCTGCAGCTGCTAGATCCCGAGAACTAGGCGTGGCTAAGGATCCCTATATAAGGTGTCCCTGAGCACAATAAAGATCCGCACTTGGCATTCTTGTATCAAGGATGAGCCGTGTCGGCGTCTCTGTCTGTCTGTCTCTGTTTGTCTGTACGCTTTTAAGTCTCCAGCTTAGTTCCCGGCTCATACAGTCCTGTAGTGGCACAGGAGCTACAGGACCGTCTCCGTTTGGGCTTTTACAGCGATGCCCCACGGTATCTTCAGAGGTTAGTACTAGAGGTTATTCATTAGACCCTCACTGGTAGTAGAAGCAGAAGATGGTCATGTGTTCCTTCAGTCTCATGGGAAAGAGCTTGAGGCTATCAGCAGGGTCACACTACAGAAATGAGGCTTTTCCTAAATTTAGAATTTTAAATAAACATTTATTTAGTATGTGTGCATTGTGTTTGTGCATGTGCCGTGGTCACAGGAGACCTTGTAGGTGTCGTCTCTCTCACTCTACCATGTGGATTCCAGAGATGGCACTCAGGTTGCCAGACTTGGCACTTTATCCACAGTCATCTTGCTGGCCCAGACGTGGCCCTTTCCGTTCTCTTACACTCGGCAGAGGTCCCTAGTGCTCTAGGCAGAGAGAGGAATGCATGTGGGAAGCTGGACGCTGGACGCTCTAGGGCTGTTTCTGTTCCAGGGGTGGCTTCTTGGCAGTCGAAGCATTGATACTGTCTCTCTCAGAATGACCACTGTGATCAGGATGGACAATTCAGGACACATGGCTACTTTTGCTACATCTAGCCATGCTAATGAAAGAAAGCCTTGAAGAAGATACTAACCTGAACAGGCAACTGAGAAATCTACTATCTTCTGTTGGGTCTGAACTGGAGAGCAGAAAGGAGGGAGGAGGAGAGACCTAAGGTTAGGAAAACTGAGTTCTGTGCCTGGAGAGACCGGTCATCTGTAAAAAGCATATGTTTCTCTTGTAGAGTACCAGAGTTTGGTTCTCAGCACCCATGTGGGACAGTTAAAGCCATCTTTAACTAATTCTAGCTTCCGAGGACCTGATGCCTTAAGGGACATGGCCCGCCTATAACTGAAAATCAGTCTTGATGACTTGGTGGATAAAGGGGCTTGGCCTGACACCATGACTGTGGCCCTGGTCACGTGGACAGAGAACTGACACCATGACTGTGGCCCTGGTCATGTGGAGAGAGAACTGACACCATGACTGTGGCCCTGGTCACGTGGACAGAGAACTGACACCATGATAGTGATCCTGGT